CCCCCCCCCCCCCCCCCCCCCGCCTGCCTCTCTGCCTACTTGTGATCTCTGTCTGTCAAGCAAATAAATAAAATCTTAAAAAAAAATCCTGCAAGGACAAAGCATTAAGAGGATGTCTTTCCTTAGAGATTGAGACTTGGGTATTAGTGTAGAGGGGGGAAAAGGAATTTTAATTCTCATTTTATATCCTTTTGAAGTATGAAAAAAAATTAAAACTAACACATATAACTTTTACACTTAAAAGTTAAAATAAGGGATGCCTGGGTGGCTCAGTGGGTTAAGCAGCTGCCTTCGGCTCAGGTCATGATCGTGGGGTCCTGGGATAGAGTCCTACATCTGGCTCCCTATTCTGCAGGAAGCCTGCTTCCTGAGCCTGCTTCCTGTCTGCTGCTCACCCTGCTTGTTCTCACCCTGACACACAAATAAAATCTTAAAAAATAAATACATAAAGTTAAAATAAACCTAAGTTTAGTGCTAAGTACTAAGACACTAAATAAGTTAACATATTTAAGCATTAAAAAAAAATTTTTTTAAGATATTTATTTGACAGAGACAATGAGAGAGAGAACACAAGCAGGGGGAGTGGGAAAGGGAGAAGTAGGCTCCCTGCTCAGCAGGGAACCCCAATGCAGCCAGATCCCAAGACCTGGGATCACTACCTGAGCCTAAGGCAGATGCCCAACCACTAAACCACCCAAGCGCCCCCATTTTTTTTTTCTTAATGAGCAAAGAGAGAAAAAGAAACATGATCATCATGCCCTGAGTTACCTGAACAATGGTGAATCCAGATCTGAGAATGATATCTTGTATCTCCTCCTCTTTGTCCACAATATCCGGTTTGATAATAGCCAGAGTTTTTTCTACATATATCTGAGGTGGTGGCATTGACATCTCCATTCTGCCTTTTCAGGGTACAACTTAGGAGATTGTCCACAGGTATCAACTGCAACGACATGCATCGTCCCACCCCAAATTTAATGTAACTGTGATTAAGAACAATATTACTAGGTGCTTGGGTCTCCTGGGTGGCTCAGTGGGTTAAAGCCTCTGCCTTCGGCTCAGGTCGTGATCCTGGAGTCCTGGGATGGAGCCCTGCGTTGGGCTCTCTGCTCAGCGGAGAGCCTGGTTTCCCCTTTCTCTCTCTGCCTGCCTCTCTACCTACTTGTGATCTCTGTCTGTCAAATGAATAAATAAAATATTTTTTAAAATATATATTACTAGGCGCTTGATGTTATTAATTTATAGTTACAAACTGCCGAACCTTTTTCTATGAGCAGCGTCGCAATAATAACATGTCTGAGCGCCTGGCTGGCTCGGTCCAAGGAGCACGTGACTCTTGATCTCTGGGTCTCCTGGGTTCCAACCCCAGGTTAGGTGTTAGGTTCATAAATGAACTTTAAGAACAACATAATTTCTACTCTATGTCTTTTTTTTTTTTTTCCTTAAGATTTTTATTTATTTGCCAGAGAGAGACACAGTGAGACACGGAACACAAGCATGGGTGTGGGAGAAGAAGCTGGACTCTCCCCTGAGCAGGGAGCCTGGGATCGTGACCTGAACCGAAGGCAGATGTTTAAGGACTAAGCCACCCAGGCGACCCTCTACTCTACCTCTTTAATTCGTGCCCTTGGTTTTCCTAAGCGCTTTCATTGAGGTCCAGAGGCCAAGCGATAGTCTGAAGGCCTTGAAGACCGCGTGTTCCTCTCTGCAGCAACTCTCCACCCAGGGCAGGTAAGCCGCCTCCGGTCCCCGCCCCTCCTGGAAGTCCACACACCGGATCCCGCCTGGTTAGAAAGGAGGAACTCCAGGTCCCAGGGCCTTTCCAGGTTCACTCGCAGTCCCGAGTACAACCCTCAATTGCGCACCCAAACCAACTCCTGCCCGGCTACCGCCGCTTGTTGCTAGGAAACCCAAAGCACAGGTCAGGGACGGCGGCTGCAGAGGGCCAATCCCAGCACAGTGCCTCACAGACTCTGGGTGGTTCTTTTTAATCAAGGGAAGGAGCAAGCCTACACCCGTCTTTATTCCCCCTGCCAATCTTCGAGCACTAAACATTTTCCAACATTTTCCTCATCTTATTTTACCCTCCTAGCCATTTAAAGGACGCTTCAATTATATCTTTATAAATAATGAGACAAATTGTAGACATTCTCCTCTCATCCCCCACCACCCCGTTTCAGATAGCATATATAAGAAGCCCACGTCAAATACCTTACGGTCATTACACCAGATGTTGTCCCTTTTATTCCCAGATTCTGTAATCATTAAAAAAGCAATCTTCAACTTGTGAAATAACATTTATTTATAGAACAGTTATAAGAGACTTAATTTAGTTACATCTAAATCAAGCCTTCGGAACAAAGAAGTGAGCAACATTTATGGCATAACCCCAGACCTCAGCTTTCTCTGTTTTATATTATGTCCACAGACACCTTTGACTCCTTGGTTGTGAGTTAACACATTTTTCTTACTAGAAAAGCAACAGAAAACTGGTAAACAAGTACTGGGATCTTCTCTGAGCCTCAGAAAAAGGTCCCAAATCCAGAAAAGGTCAGGACAGCAGCTCCTGGTTATCCAGACGTTTTCCATCATCCACATAGCTGGCTGGTTCTCATTCCAAACTATTTAAGTCTCTTCTTTTGTCTAACCAAATACTCAGCACCTACAGAGTCAAGGCAGATAGCAAGCTATGAATCTTAAAAACTATAGAGATTTGAACGCAATTTTCTTTTTCTGCAATGAGGTTTGACTATGCTTTTTTTCCTTTTAAATATGCTCCTTCCCAGAAAAGAAACTCCCAAATGTCATCTTCTGCCTACCATGTCTTACCCCTGTAGATGGGACAGTGTGAACATACATTAATATCAACAGGTATAGCTTTGGTCTGCATGTTTAACCCTCTGACTTGAGGCCCTGGAAACAGGAGCTCCAGTTACTTATCTATCCCTATCTCTCTTGAGACTCCTCCACTGCTGCCTATCTTCCTATACTAGTTTACTTCACTATTTATGAAAGCTGGTCCTACAGAGACTTAAGAGTTTTCCAAAGCAGTAGGTACAATGTCAATACCTCAGGGCCTTTAACCATGTCTAAACATAAGTGCACCTGGGTGGCTCAGTGGGTTAAGCCTCTGCCTTCGGCTCAGGTCATGATCTCAGGGTCCTGGGATCTAGCCCCACATTGGATTCTCTGCTCAGCAGGGAGCCTGCATCCCCCTCTCTCTGCCTGCCTCTCTGCCTACTTGTGATCTCTGTCAAATAAATAAATAAAATATTTAAAAAAACAAACAAAAGGGGCGCCTGGGTGGCTCAGTGGGTTAAAGCCTCTGCCTTCGGCTCAGGTCATGATCTCAAGGTCCTGGGATCGAGCCCCACATCGGGCTCTCTGCTCAGCTGGGAGCCTGCTTCCTCCTCTTTCTCTGCCTGCTTCTCTGCCTACTTGTGATCTCTGTCTGTCAAATAAATAAATAAAATCTTTAAAAACAAAACAAAACAAAAAAAACCAAAAAACAAAACATAAACTCTGAGAAAACAAGGTCACCTTAACATCGCTCTTATTCTCACAGATTTTCTGAAATCAGATTCCAGAGGTTGTACTCCTTTTTCTTACAGCTCGCTACATATAGTACCTGAATCTGCTCTAAGACTTCTCGCTGCATTTCCACAGCCATATGGTACACATGATGATCAGAATCATTGTACATCACAGCATTCTGGAACATCAGCATCAGGTCACGCTGGAACTGAGCCATGGTGCGAATCCGTCCCTTAGACAGATTCCTTTTCAGGCTAGTTAGGTCCATGGGTCTGCAGATGGCCAAGAGAAACCAAAGGAAATCAAAACCTTTATGTGGGACCTAACATGCTCTCTTAGAGATCCAGCTCTTAATTCCCATCAAATAATAAAATAGCAACAGCATCTAACATTTGATTTTTTACAACAGGCCAAGTGCTTACCCTGCCAAGTGCAAGGTACCTTGTATATTAATTCACTTGACCCTCTCAGTAAACTTATAAAAGCTAGGTACTTTATTATCACCAACTGGCAGTGGGGAACCAATGCTAAAGAGGTTAAGTACTTGCTCAAAGTCACACAGCTTGGATTCCAATTTAGAAGCAGCCTGACTCCAGAGGCAACTATACCCCTGTAGGAAGGGCACTGTAAGGAGACCCATGATTAGTCTGTCACAGAGGAGTTACTGACTATTCAATGTGTAGTCCTATACAAGTTGTTTAATCTGCTGCTCTTACTATATACTCAAAAGCTAAGAATTTTTTTCTTCTTTTGTGGAAAAGAGTGTGAATCAAGTGAATGTTTAGATAAATAACTAATGAGACACAGAGAGACAGTAGATAAGGGAAGACATAACAGTGTAGAAAGAGGACTGAACTAGGAGGTTAAGAATCTAGGGTTTAGTTCTAGCTCTGCTATTCACTGTTGATCACCCCAAGTCATGAGCTCCTCTGAGCCTTACTTTCCTCACGTATAGAATGAAAGAGTCTGTGTCCAAAGGTGCTTTCCTGATCTTTTATACTCCATTAAAACACTGGTTTATGACAGCATTTTTAATGACTTATGCTATAAAAATCCAAAATAATGCTATCAATGTTTATAATAGCCATTTTGTATTACCATCTTTGCCTTAGCATACTTATAACGGCTTGATGAATATAGTGTTCTTTTTAAAGCTTTGGTCCAAAAGAAAGTACCAAAAGCTATCAAAGGCTATGGAAGATTACAATGAATGGATGTTACTTAAAAATCAATACTAAGGGGCACCTGGGTGGCTCAGTGGTTAAGCCTCTGCCTTCGGCTCAGGTCATGATCTCAGGGTCCTGGGATCGAGCCCCACGTTGGGCTCTCTGCTCAGCAGGAAGCCTGCTTCCCCCTCTCTCTCTGCCTGCCTCTCTGTGTACTTGTGATCTCTCTCTCTCTCTGTCAAATAAATAAATAAAATCTTAAAAAAAAAAATCAATACTAAAAAAGAAAAAAAGCCTATTATTATCCTTTTGTTCTCTGCATTCTTTCTCAAATGAAGACCAAGCTTACCCTTACTTTACGAACATGTTCAGATATAAAATATATCTTGAGTTTGTAAGTAATCTAAATGAAATAAAGAAATGATCAGGGTACCTAGCTGACTCAATTGGTGGAACATGTGACTCTTGATCTTAGGTTTGTGAGTTTGAGCCTTATGTTGGGTGTAGAGATTACTTAAAAATAAAATCGAAAGAAAAGAAGGAAGGAAGGGAGGGAGGGAGGGAGGGAGGAAGGAAGGAAGAAAGAAAGATGGATGGATCAGAAATAAAGTTTGAAAAGACAGATATAGAAGCAACCAACTGTTCTTGACCCCTTTTCCACTGACCTTTTCACCACATCCTTGTATCCTGGGGCCTGCCTTTCTGACACAGGCTTCAGAAAAGGACTGCTGAACCTGTTAAGGGACAAACTCTGAGAGAATGAAGAAACTCTGGAAAGTCATTCAAATGAGAAGAGTGACTGTGAAGGCCAAGAGTGGCTTGGAGACCTACCTGTGACTGGCAATCATCTTCCAGACTGGCAGGAGAGTCTTCTTAAATAACAAGTGATCCTGAACAGGGTCACTCTGGCCTATATCAGACCTATATGATAAAACAGGACAGAAAGGAAACAGTAACTTCACATATGGTATTCTGTCTCTCCCAGGTAGGTAAAGAGATTTCCTCATTATATAGTGCTCCTACTTAATATGGGAAGGAACTAACACCAGAAATTAAAACATATTTAATCCTTCCATAAGAGAACCCAAACACTACAAATATTCTCTTACCGGTCACTATTACCTAATGAAATAGTTATTTTCTACTATCAATCTACAGTTGCTTCTGTCTTTTGGACTCTTGCTGATTTGCTCTTCAGCACTTGTGACTCTAAAAAACTGGTGCATGAGGTAGTCTTTGTTCACTGATGCTCCCCAAGTGCGTGGTACATAGTAAGTGCTCACATATTTCATAGCATTAAGTATTTCGGAAATGAATCTGGTCCTATGTTTATGCAGAAACATGCCACAGTAATAAGCATTTCTCCTACATTTCCTAAGAAGGAAATACTTGGTTATACATCTTAGGGAATTCCCTTATGTTTCATCTGAATTCTATACAATTTACATATTTCTCCTTTTCACTAACAAAATACCTAAAAAAAAATTCATTTTTCCTCATGGCCCTTCTTTCTCTGGGCTAAATGGTCTAGTTATTTTTTCTTCCAGGTGCTACTGTCCAATGTTTTATTTCATCTTATAATCTTCCCAGTTCACAAGTTTTCTCTTTATTCCAAAGTTTAACATTATGTTATACTTCCTACTTAATATATTGCATTAATCTCTCAAAATGGGTTCTTCTTAAACCTAAAGTTTCACACCCTCTTTGTGTTTTATATACCATATGGTGTGTGTCCATTCAAGCACAACTCACATCTCATTTTATCTTTCTCCAAGTTGAACAATTCCAAACAACTATCCAGTTTCAGGATATGGTATCTCATCTGCATCTAAATTATATACACAAAAATCAACTGTCCTTAAATCCAGAACCCTATCAGAACAAGGCATTTAAAGACCAAAACAAACCTCTTCCTTTATTTCTGGTCAGTTGACCAGAATGAATAACAGTTCCTTGGTACCAGGGCATTTTTGTTCATATATCCACACAAATGGTATTAAGTTTCCATTATATGAAAGGTACTGCCTTAGGTTTTGTAACCTCATAATTTATCACCTTTGTAATATTTTAAGAAATAATCCCTAGCTTATCTTTATTTCCACCTATTTGGAAATGCATGTCAGGCAACAAGTAAAAACATGGGAACAGAAAGCACCTGCAGGCTTAGAGTGGTGCTCCACAGGTTCTACTTCTATTTTTTCCTGAGAGTTAGTACCAACTAAGGGGAACCAAGAAAAGAGGAGCCTGGAGAACGTCTATCTTTCAAAGTAGTTTTAAACTTGCCTGATTGTAACACAAAATCTCAGCTTTTTATTTCCCTTAAGTCATCTGGCCAAGGAGACTCAATTACTATTATCTATTGTTTTCTAATAAATATTCCATGTTTATCCTAAATCCTAAAATAAGAACGTGGATTTTGCCATTCAAGGTACTAAAATGTCATGAGATAAAATGTCCCAGATTAGAGATTTCTCGTTTTCTGGAAAGTCATCATATATGCCCTCTGTTCATACTTACACAGGACGTTACAGAAAAGCAAAGGAAGCAATTCTTCAACAA